ACATTTCTGTGGAGCATTTATAAGATTTGGCTCATGACAATAGATAACATGTGAAAAAACTAAACTAGCTACAATAAGACTGATAATCATAGCACGCTTAGCATTTTTCAATGAGCTCATTTGTCGATGCTGTAACTTTACACTTGATAAAAGCCATCGATCAATTATAGCAAAAAGTATATACCAAATTGCTACTGGTCTTGCAATATTCACAACAAAACCACGAAGTTTACAAAAAAATCGAGTTGTTGCTGTTAGATCAGCTCCCCAACCAGACAATATTCGAGAAAGAAGACCAGAAAGGATAGCAATAAAATTAACCACTGATGAGAATAGAAAAAGTATAGCACATGGATTGGAACGAAATGATGATTGAGATAAAACCAAAACATTAAGAATATTTCCAATGGAACCAAAAAGAAAGATAAAAATTGAAAAGTAACGAATAATTTGAAGTGTGGCATAATTTATTGTTGTAATCAAATTTGCATTCGACAATGAAGACATTGTTGAATTCAATTGTTCCATGATAAGTTAAATCTAAAAATGGTCGCAATGGAACTTGTAAAATCTATTGTTCAAATTTTTATGCACATAGAAAAACCAGATGAATGAGACGTGAAATTTATCGGCTCATGAAAACTCATGTTTGAATGACAAACAATATCTCTTATGAGTTTATTGTGTGAATTCATATACTGATTAATTATGGGTGGACACTTGATGATATTAGAATCTACATCTTCATGAGAAGTAATCTGTAACAGGTCTTTTTGTACTATTTTCGTAAGAGAAAAGCTTTTTCTATAGTGAATATTTTAAAACTATTACTATTTGATACATATTCAAGGAGAAATATCGCTGCATCATTCCTTATCATGTGAAAATAAGATTTTCTTTCGTAAGTAGTTCGATATTTAATCCTTATAGATTTTAGAGAATCCTCTTTCTTATTGACTGTTTCTGGTTCTCGAAGAGACGGTTAACGAATCATGTGAATATTTTTACCATTGATAGGGGACCAAAAGTAACAAAAAAAATTGTTAGAGGAAAAATTATTTTATTAACTGATTTTACAGGATCCTGAAAGCTAAGGCTTGGGTTTTGTCGAAAAGAAATCTCATTACATTCTATTTTACTCATTAACGTCTCACACAACTGTCTTTCTTAGGTTTTTAGATGTAAATAAAATCATCTACTAAAACTAACTATCTCTCCTACTCGATTCTGAAATTTTACTTTGCGTATTTGCTGCATTTTTCTCTAGAGATTCTAACAGATTGATGTTGAAATGCATGACAATACGCAACGTGTAATCCATTAGACATGTTCTGTTACGATTAAAACTAATGCACCTTGCTTGATATTATAAAAATGAAAATAGAGTTCTATCAATTAAAAATTAATGGTTCACGTCTTCATGTCCCTACTAGAATTGAAGAGCAGAAAAAAATGCTAGAATGAATTACATTCCATTTTTAATCATGTCATTCAAGCAGAACTACATTAGTAATCAAAGAATGTTACTTCTGATATTTGAAAGCAGTACCACCTATGCAGAAAATCCAGAATTGTAACAAAAAAAATAAATGTACCTTTTTCATTTTCTCAGGTATTATGCTACCTTATACGATATGGAAAGTATTCATCCCTCATGTGACATCTTGCATTTCCAGGATGTGACAATGCTCTTACATTAATTATAACCTCTTGCAATGTTTATATCACAATGCAACCACGAGCAAGAACTGTTGGAACACATAAGACGCATTGGAAATATGTTTTCCTCACCTTTACTTCTTTCTCATATTTCTTCATTTGACTAACTTACATTACCTGCTTGAAAACTGAAAAGGTAAAAATGTTACTTTCAAACAATATTATGTCTACATGGTTGAATAGAACTTATAGGGCATTATTTTTGGATTGTTAAACATTTTTGTTCACTTTTTAACAGATCTTGAAGTTTTGTTTGTCTCTCTGATCTAAGCAGAATAACCATAATGTTAAATAGTTACATGGTACTGTGTTACGCCAAACAAAATAGCAAGTGATTTGTAGTTACTAATCACTTGTAAAAAAAAGTAGATAAAAGAGACAAGAAAAAATTATGGGTCTCAAAAAATGACGTATTTATAAGAACAATTGATAAGTATGAAAAACGAATGACAAAGAAAATCAAAAATCGAACACATGTATTAATAGGAAACTCCAAGAGAAAATTATTGCCAAAGTCAAAAATAACACTCTACAGTGAATACTGATGAACATTAAGTAAATGCTGCAATCTACTACATATCAAATGGTTGGCGCTGAGATAAAGACTTATCTTAATTTCACGTGTTGAAATAATAAAACTCATTGGTAAGTACCAACATAGTTGTCGAGTCATCTTAGTACCAAGCAACACTTTTTTGTCTTCATTGCTAATAAACTCTTTTGCATAAGTAATACGTTTGTTAATTTTTGAGTTACATATATGTAATTAGTGAGTACCTAAAGTAACTACGTCAAATCAGTCTCATCCGCTCTTCTCTAATATATATTCAGAATATTTCTTTGACTGAGGGATACTTAGCTGAAAAGTATGACCAGAGAAAAATATGATATCATTACAGAGAAATTATATTTTTGCTCATTATGCTTTGCTTTTATAGGCTGTACTTTATGCATACTATTAAGAAGAAACTTTGCTCTATACAACTGACTCAGGTAGATTTATTTCATGTTTCGTATTCAGTAGACTTGATTCAAAACATAAAAAATTCATCAAATAAAATTCTATATAAACGTCATTTTTCATTCTATCAAACATTTGGCTTATCTCTAATCAATTCTAAATCAAAGAAATATTCTCATTACTTAGTTGAAAAGAGCACGAGATTCCAATTTTAGTTAACTACTTTTGATTTTCACTTGCAATTTTACTCTGAGTTCTGTGTTTTTTCCATAG